GGAGATTCGAACCATCACCACCCTCCAGGCCTTCCGCAAAGCCCTTAAAACCTGGTTGTTCCGACAGGCCTGGGGCTAAAGAGCTGTTGCCCCCCCCCCCGTCTCGAATGGTATGACTGTTGTGAGTTTTAAATTATATACTGTTGTGTTGTTGTTTTTTTAAATCTTTTGTCTGTATCCCCCTCCCCAGTTCGGGTTGTGAGCCGCCCTGAGTCCCCTTCGGGGGGAAAGGGCAGCATAGAAATTTAATAAACTGACTGAACTGAACTATCTTAATATTTTGGTGCAGACAAAGGCAGTAAATAGGCAGAATGATCCTGCCCAGGGGATGTGTCTGTATTACATGCCTGCTCAGGACTGACTTTTCCAGTGTTTTGGAAGGGGGAATGTTAAGATCATTCATCTTCTTTTTCTTTGCCATATTAGACTTGATTTAGGAAAAAGATTATAAGTGTGTGTTTTCCACTTTAAACTAGTGGAAACCTACTTTGCAGCAGATAGGGCCAGAGAAGCTCCATACCAATAGAAGAGAATATTTGTAGTTCAGGTTGAACTGCGGAGTCTCTGGTCCTGCCTGAGCTTGGTTGCTCACCCAACTAGGTAAAAACATCAGTGCTGTGTAACGAAACATCTGCAAGAAAACAACCAAGCTCAGGCAGCTCCAAGAACCCTGAAGAAATAGGTTTGGGGACAGGTTATGGCTGTGAACATGGGAGTACTCAGATAAAAACCTTTTAAAGATATTAAGAAAAAGTGCTTTGTTGGTCCTGGCACGTGCACAAGCCAAACCTGTTTCTCTTGCCTGCCTCTGGATTAGTTGTGATCTTAGTTGTTTCCAAAAGAAACCAAATTAAAGACAGAAATCAAAACTATGCATTCATTGTAGCTTGACAAGGGTTATTGTTCGGCACTTCTGCTCTTTGGGACTTTAATCCCTGGATTTTTAAGTTTGAGCGCTTGCTTTTATGTGTCATCTTATATAAAATACATTGGGAGGGAAAGAAAAGGAGGAAGGGAGGGAGAAAGAAAGAAAGGTTTATCTCTTTCATCAAAGTAACAGAGCTTTCTTGAACTCGTGGGTACAAGATAAAGATGTTGTATATGTGCATTTGGGGATGAATTTGTGGCCTGCAGAGAGCCCTAGTCAAGAAACAGTGTGGTGGCAAAAATAAATCTCAGGTCTCTGCAAATCTGAGACTGTGCTTATTTTCAGGATGAATTTGGGGACAAGGGTAGGATTGTCAAGGGAAATTGTCAAGCACTGGGGAAATTAGGAGATCCAGGCAGTTCAAATGAGTATACAGTTTTATTGCAAACTTAAGTTCTTTACGGGGATGTGGTGGGTCTCTGGCTAAGAGGCTGAGTTTGTCGATCAGAAAGGTTGGCACTTTGGCGGTTCATATCCCTAGTGCCGCTTAACGTGACGTGAGCTCCTGTTACTTGTCCCAGCTTCTGTCAACCTAGCAGTTGGAAAGCATGTGAAAATGCAAATAGAAAAAATAGGGACCACCTTTGGTGGGAAGGTAACAGTGTTCTGTGTGCCTTCGGCATTTAGTCATGCCGGCCACATGACCATGGAGATGTCTTTGGATAGTGCTGGCTCTTAAGCTTTGAAACAGAGATGAACATCACCCCCTAGAGTCGGGAACGACTAGCACATATATGCGAGGGGAACTTTTACCTTAAGTTCTCTACAAGAATCTGAACTATTAGTGGTCAAGGGAAACGAGTGGGAGTTAAGAAAGGGATTCAAGGTGGGCTGGAGTTAGATCTTTTATGGGCGTGTGCCGCACAGGGACTTGTGACTGATGACATGTTTGACCCCTCCCTTGGGCTCAGCTTGGTCATCTCCTACAGAAATACAGTGCATGTGTTGTGTGCGTGTTGCATACAGTATGTATATATAGACTCTGTCATATGTACACACACAAATGATGGAGCCAGGCATCGATCAAGCCTAGGTTACTTGGCTTCTAGACCTGTGTTACCATCAGCTGCTTCCCTGGGTAGCCTTGCTGTTAAACCCTGTCAGAAATGTGTTGTCATCCATGAAAAATACCTCTTGCTTGGTAACTCTTTGCAGCACTGCGGAACTGAGAAAAGACTTTGAAAAAATCTTTGGCTTCCTCTTTCCTTCCTGCAGTTCAGTGTTGTTCTTTTTCTTAAGGCTGAACTGCTTTGAGGGCTCTGAGAAGCAGAAATCTGGGCTGCTCAGTCGATCAACTGAACTGATAAATAAGAAATAGCGAAGTCTAAATAATGAATGCTTTAATGAAAAAGGCACTTTCATTATAAATAAATAATGCTTTTTTATTTTCATTATGTGTTGATTTGATTAGTTGATGGATTATGGCCTTCTACTCACCAAGTGGCTTTCAGCCAGTCTTCATAAATCTAACACATAAAACTGCAGTTTGTACTAGAAGGGCTTGAGCTGAGTGAAAGCACTCAGTGGCCTGCTATAAAACTCAGGACAAGGTGATTTGTGCCTCAGAATGTATAGCCCTGTTCTTTGTTTTACACAGATGCCACAAGAAACAAATACATATCTCACCAACATCAATCATCCGTAAGGAGAAAGGTGAAGGATACCACATTGGAGCTGACATCATTATACAAATAAAGTAAGGTGTACCTCCATTGGAAATCAGGGTGTTTTTTGGGGGGGTGCCTTAGGAAAAATGCCCTGCATTTCAATGGCATCCTGGCTTGTTAGGGGCATCACTTTATCTTTGAATTTTCCTCCCTCTTTCTCACTGTTATTCCAATGTGTCCTCAATATTACAGGATCTTTTCCTCAACACTGAAGAGATTAAGTCTCTTAAATCAGCTCAACTATGATTGATGGTCACCTAACCACAAATATATACTGTATACAAAACTTACCTCAATACCTACTGTCCATTGTTGTGCCTACCATTCTTCTTAATCATGGGGAATAACTGGACCACTAAATCTTATCAGGATGTCCCCTCCATCATTGTTTCTATGACTTCCCCTCCTTTGTTTGCATTATTCTGTTGATTTAAAGTTTAACTGTAGACAAGAATGGTATAAAAAGCAGCATGGTACGCTAAAGAGAGAGATCCCTTTGCTACACTTCTCCCAATTCTGGAATTGAAAAGGAAATATGGCAAATTGCCTTTTGCTCTATCAGCAAATTTCCTTAACAGTTTCCATTGTCTTCTCACCCATCTCTTTTCCTTTTATCTTGCCCTTTTTATCTTCCTCTTCATTTCATTGAAAACAATTCAAGAGAAATCCTAGNCATATACTATGAGAAACCTATTTTTGTGTATCACAGCAGCCAAATAGTAAAGGGCCTCCCATAGATCCTGTTCCCAGCACCAGTCATGGAGAACACAAAAGGTCAGGCAATGACACATCAAGGAAGACTTATTGTTTAAGAGGGATGTTGGCACTTCCATCTGTGAAACAGATGGAATTTACCATCAGAGGCTTTACCATCTGTGCTGATGTTTGGAGGAAAGACAGACAACATGAAGTTCAACCCAGGCACTAAATGGATTGTGAGGTCTGAGTGTTTTGAATTCTGTTAATCACACCACTCACAAAAGCTTCTGCCTACAACCTGGGGGGGTTTAACCTTGCCTAGGCTGCATTGAGTGAAGAGGAATTATCTTGGGCAGAATAAATATTAAATAACAATTAATATGTACTGATAACTAACTTTATTTTTTAAAATATTTTTATTGTGGGTCCATGTTACTAGTTCTCCAGGGTTGTATGTGGCCTGTGTGGTTGTTTGTGGGTTGGAAATGCCTAGTCCACAATGCCTACAATAGATTCTAAGTTTGTTTTGAAATTTTGTGCCTTAGAATTGGGAAGACATTGCCCAGAAAGTTATCCTATTCTCAGAAAATTCCCATATTCCGAATGGTCAACTGTGCAGAAAAGATTGTAGCTACAGATGCCTTGTTCCCCTGAAGTTCACACACAAGCTGCTTGCACAGGAGGACAAACAGACTGTAATAGTTATAGTACCTTATGATCTGAGGGTGGTTACCAGCCAAAAGTGGCAGTGATGAGTCAAACAAGTATACTCCCTCCATTTGCTCCTTTCTTTGGCTTTTGCACAATGAGCACAAACAACACTTACCCCGACCAGATGGCCCAGGGTGACTGACAATCCAATGGACAGAGATGGGGATCCCACGTTGCCATTTCGGCGGTTGTCCGTTGAGGCAAAAATGCACAAGACAAGCTGGAAAGTCAAGATAATCTCCACGACCACCGCCTGACCTGCTGTTGTGTTGTTGCTAAGCTGTTAGAAGAAAAAAAGACACAGGTTTAGGCTTTAGTCTTGCATGTTCTTGTCAGGAAGTCACTTCTGCTAAAATCAAGAAGAATTGTGAATGCCGAACTGTGGAACAGGGCTTTGTGATTGCCTTTTGGTTTAAATCTTTTGAGATGTGATCTGCAATTAACTCTGCACAGTGGCTTTTCTTATGTCACTGGGGGTGTGTTCCTTAATCTCAAATAAACAATTCCATTTACCAAGCTTCAGCAGAGGTATGAGATTAGAGGCACCTTCCCCAAAGAACAAGCTAAGAGGCTTTTTAAAGCTCTGCAGAAAATAAAGCATGGTTCTTTGGGCTTTAAGAAATTCAACTCTGTTTTCGTAAAATCTCTTTCATATTGTGTCTTGGTCACAGAAATTAAGCCTCGTTTCCTTCATCCCATCTGGAATATTTTCCTTTGGATAATGTTGTATCTACTGTATGTCGAATGGCCTTTAAAACCATCGGGGCTTGTTGAAGATAACAGAAGGAAAGATAAGAGATTGTTCAGTAATTTGGAATAGATTTAAAGTTTCTTTTAGGAAGCCTCTGTTGGAAGTACCTTTAAATGGGTCCTGATATCATACTTATTGCAAGAGTCTGTTAAACTTGACTTAGAAAAGACAGGTGTTAATACCATATATACTTCATTTTGAATTCCATTGGAGATTTACATATATCTTTTTACCACCTAAGGCAATGCTTACTTTAGTTGGGGTCATAATGCAAATAGAAATCTTCGACGGAGCAAGAGGTTCTTGGTTGTCTCTCCTTTGGTTTTTCTTCTAATAACCATAATTAGACAATTGATGCAATATCTAAATAATTGGGATAATGAGTGATGGAGAAATAAAGGGAGAAATAAAAGCCAGTTTGACCTAGTGGCTAAGGCACCAGTCTAGAACTTGGTGAGTCCTAGTTTTGCTTTAACATGACACTTTCTCTCAGCCCAACCCACCTCACAGGGCTGTTGTTGTGGGGAAAATAAGAGAAGGAAGGAATAAGAGAAGGAAGGTCTATGTTTTCCACTTTGAATTATTTACAAAAATAATAAAGGCAGGGTCAAAAATCTAAAAAAAAGTGGTCCTTGGGAAAAGCGTGGAATGAGGGGACTGTCTATAATATGTAATCATGGCATAATTCTGAATAGAAGCAGTCACAAATTCTACTTGTAATTCTTAGAGATGAGACCTGAAATTCCCACTTGCATTTAATAAGGGAGGTTTATGGATATGGCAAATTGCTGCAACGAAAACGTAAATGTGTCCCTGCAGTCACCAAGGGCCATACAAATCTTGAGATTTGCTTTTATATGCTCCTTCAAATATTACCTCCATGCTGTTTTCTGTATCTTTTTTTGTCCAGCTCTAATAACATTTCTCACAAGCTTCCCAGATTGATTGTCTAACTTATTATGATGAAACCTTGGGTTCAATGAATTTAATGCTGCCCTGTGATCTTTTCCAAGGATCTTGAGATAGGCATGTTTGTAGCTGTCCTTTTTCTTTTCAAAGCCTTTGCTTTGCCTTGCATTGAACCAGAAATGATTACCCTGATTATCAAAAGCTATTTTTCAGGAGACTTGGAGGAACAATATAGTAAATGATATCTATGTGTATGCTTGTGTGCGAGCATGTAAATCCTAGGCACCATTCTTTTGATACCTTTCCAACAGCACACAAACCCACACTCACAAATTTACATCAAGTGTGAAATTACTGGGAAACCTTTTTCAAAAGGAAAACAATGAATCTTTAATAAGCAACCAATAACTCTAGGTAGATTCTTTATGCTGTAATAACTTTAGGTAGATTCTTTATGCTGTTCCTGCTGATCTGTTAATCTATGGCAGTGATTGAGTTAATGCATTTCTTGCTTTCCTTTTAAAACCGACTCACTCATCCCCTTAGGATATGAGGACATTTGCAAAGAGCTCTGCCTTGTAAATAGCTCCATGCATGCTAGCATACTTCTAGGGCAATGGATAAGAGAACATTTCCCTCTTACATTCCATCCGTGGCACCACCTGCTCTCTGGGAATGGAAAAGACACTCTTGTACCAGTATCCAGGAATAGAACAACTGCTTTTCCCCTGAGATGCAAATTTTCCGTGGACCTGCCTGAGAATTCCTCCTACAGATTATTAGAGAGATGTACTTACCCCATTGGCTGCCAGATTACCACGGGTATTGGGGGGGGTCACTCCGTAAAGGATGCCTGCACCGGCAATGGCCCCCAGCAGCTGTGCCACAATGTAAAACATCATCCGGAGGAAAGAGATCTGGTTCCCAACAAAGAAGGCGATGGTCACCGCTGGGTTGATATGGCCACCGCTGATATGACCAAAGGTCTGCACCATTGTGCCAATTGCCAAGCCAAATGCCAGGGAAATCTGAAGGACAGTTGGCAAGGCTGATGGCCACTTCAGGGCTGAGCCCAAACCAAAGAACACAAAAATCATGGTTGCCAAGAACTCGGTGAAGACGGCTCGGAGAAAAACAACGGTGCAAACTTCTTTCCTCATGGCTGGGCTGGAGCTGGTGGACTGGCAAAGATAAGGCCAAAGATGTAAAAGGATTGTACAAAAGTTGGGGCCATGCAAATGTATATATATATAGCTTTCTCTCTGTAGGTGTAGCAAGAAGGGATTGTGCCCAAGTGTGGGTGGAGCCAAGAAGGTGGCCAGTCCCCTCTTCTACCTGCTCTTCTGGAGTTTGGAAACTTTCCATCTTCAAGCCAAGGTCTAAGCTTTCCACTTTTGCAAGCTCCAATTTGGATGCTAATTTCCTTGTTTTTATCTCAACACAATGGAGCCCTGTTGAATGGCCTTGCTGTCATGAGATAGCCACAGCATTGCATAATGACATACAGATTAGCACTTAGTCTGTTTATTCTGCTCCTTCCCACTCCCCAGCCCTTTTCCCTTTTTCTAAGCATCTTTGATTTGTAACCTTAGGCCTTTTTTTAAAAGGATTTTTTTTTTACAACATTTGGATTTTGGCACCTTTGGTTTTTAATCCTTTTATTAAAAGGAAAATCCTTGGACAATCTCAGTGGGCAGCTTTGTCAAACTGGATTCTTCAAGAAATGAATATTTTCCCCCAATGAATTTCTTTCCAGAGGAAAGAAATTGGAGAGCCTGAAAACCAAGCCATGCCCTCATGTGCTGATTTGTCCCAAGGCTAGAGTTTCTAAGGAAGCTGGTGAATCAGGTATAGCCATAAAAACAGCTCTTTGCTACAGAAAACCTGAAAACTATTTGATTTGACCAGATTCTTCTTGATTTACAATCAAGGGAATGCTACATCAAGAGTGCTGGTGCCTTACAGTTTAATTTGCCTTAATTGATCCTCAGAGGCCAGCCATTCCTTTCTGGTATTTGCTGTTGTTAGTTGCGAAGTTGTGTCCGACCCATCACGACAACATTCCTCCAGGCCTTCCTGTTCTCTACCATCCTCTGGAGTCCATTCAAGCTCATGCCTACTGCTTCGGTGACTCCATCCAGACACCTCATTCTCTGTTGTCACCTTCTTCTTCTGCCCTCTATCTTTTCCAGCATTAGGCTCTTCTCCAGTGAGTCCTTTCTGGTATATTTCCTAGCAAACATCTTCCAATACAGTTTCTTAAAGCCTTTGGTAGATCTATTTGCATATCAGATGGCTATCCTGCCTTCCCTTCAGGAACTCAAGAAACTGCACTCCTTCCTCCAAAAGCTGTGGTGGATACATGCAGATTTGATTTGGACTAACTGCCATTGCTACTTGCCTAGTGTTGTTTCATTTCACAGTTGTTATTTGCTATCAACAGTTATCATCTGCCTCGTCTGTCTTCTGAGATAGGTTGATGGACTTTCCATTTTGCAAGTAAAAAAAATACAATCTGAGAGACCGAAAAGCAGCAAAACCTTTACTCAGCTGTCTGGGCAAGGGTTTGTGCTCAAGGCAACTGTCTGGCTGGAGAGTTTGTCCTCAGTCATGGCACTGCTGTGGTGTGCACAGAAATGCATGCAAAATAAAACAGACTGAAAATGCCACAGGTCGATGGGGTCCACAAAATGATTAGCATTGGCCCATATCCATGTTTAAATCTAGGCAATGCTCCCTCTCCCAGTGGGAGACATGTAACCAGCCTCCATACTATGTTTTTTCATAGCAAACATACAGGATCTGTTTCCCATTAGTAGAGAATCTTAATAATGAGAGAATTGTTGCTGGGAGCTGGATTGATAACACTTTCCTGGCAAGGTTGCTTTAACTCGAGAGGAAGCTGGCAGCCTGCGGGCAAATACATATCTGCGCAGGCTTGGTTTGCCACGATAATCTTTCATGATTTGTACCTACAAAGGCAAATAAACAGTGCTCTTTCTCTGTGAATGAATGCATATGTCAGCCTGTCTCTGTGATGTGAGCACACACAAAAAAAGGGTGTCGGTCTTTGCAGGAGGCAGCCTTGTGTGTGTTAGTTTCAGTGATGGGTTCTGCCTTCTTTCTAAAGACATTCAGCAGCTCAGTGAGTCCTAGGAAGTGATGCAGGAGCAAACACGGAAGAAAGATTGGAATATTAAATGAGAATTTGAAGTATATTTTACTTGGAACAGCTTACATCTTAAATCAACAATATCTGCCTCTCTCAGGCTCTTGGGAAGGACTCGATAGGTAAATGAAAGTGTCAGATATAGTCTAAACATCTGGCTGACTGTACAATAAACTATAATCCCCATATAATTAAAACCTCAATATGTATAAATTAATAATGTAATAAATATCTAATTAAATAATCAATATAGCATTGATAGTAATTATATATTATATAATACATGACCCCAAAACAACTGGAGCACCACTTGAACACCATTGGCATTGACAAAATCATCATCGGTCCATTGCAAAGGGCAGCTTTACTTAGAACAATTTATATCTTGCAAATGAGATCTGTAACACCATCAAACATCCACATCTGCCTATCCCGAGTCCTTGGGAAGGACTCAATCGCTGGACAAAAATATCAAATCGAGTCTAAATACCTGGCTGACTGTGTGACTAACCATAATATCAACAACAGCAAGGCAGCCTTTAAATACTTTAAACAAATTGAGTTGAAATTAATTATCAAGTAACCCAAAGTACATAAATATATACATAATTTAAATGGAAAAGTCATGTCGCCAGGCTGTTATCCATCCTTTTTTCTCCAATTTGGCTTCCCTTGTTTTGATTATTATTGCGAAAGGCAATCAAGCCACAACTGTAACTCCCAATGCCTTGTTTCCCATATGGATACTGAGCAACAGTTGGGGTGGGAAGAGGTTGGAGGGTGTCAGACAAAATGGGTTAGTAAGCTAAAAATTAATTATTCCTTTCCTTGTTGGCAACAAATATCAAGTAAAGGAACAGAATATAGCTCCCCAACCCAGGTGCCCATAAACACCAATAAGTGGGCAGAGGTTTTGGTACATGTGGTGATTAATTGTGTGAATACAATTACAGGTAGTCCTCAACTTACAACAATAGCAATAGCAATAGCAGTTAGACTTATATACCGCTTCATAGGGCTTTCAGCCCTCTCTAAGCGGTTTACAGAGTCAGCATATCGCCCCAACANGCACACTGGGAACAGGCTCCAGCTGTTTTCTGCCTCACTGTGTCTGACTCTGAAGGCAGCTGATAACAGACATACGCTTCTGGCCCCCTCTCTGCCTCCGACACAGAGCCGTCATCAGAGCCTTCCCCAGACTCCAGGACTGGCCCATGTTCCTCCTCAACCTCCTAAGTGTTTGAATCTGCTGCCAGCTCCACTGGCAGCTGGCAGGCCACAACAAAAAGCCTGTTAGGCATTTTAACTTCTCTTATCCAATGCTATTATTGTTATAATTAAAAAACCCTACATTAAGTGGTAGTCCAGATTCTTGGTGATGCAACCATACATTCAATCAATCAATCAGTCAGTCAGTCAACCAATCAATCAAGTATTGGCCATAATACTACTGAAACTCTCCACCCTCTGCCTTCAGGCCTTTTTGTTGTGGTTCAATTCTCTGGTAACTTGAAAGCTCCTGCTTTCTTATATTCCTGTTAGATGTTACCCTATCTTCTCCTCTAAACTAAAGAAACTCATTAATGTGTTGTAAAGGCTGCAGGGTCTCCGGAGAGATCCCACACCAAAACCCTGTTTCAAGAATCTGCAGTAGAACTTCCAGTCTTCTTCTGGAAGTTCTAGTGCAGATTCCTCAAAACTCCATCTGTATATCTGAGAATTCTGTTTCCTCAAAACGGCTTTGAGATGAAGGGAAGGTATTCAAATGAATAACTAGCTGTGACGTTTTCTTGCTATGCTTGATTTCAGGGACGGTCAAGCTTATTCATTTCTGGGCAATTTCCCTTCACCATGTTTGCTTCTTGTGACAGTCCTCATCTTTGCACCTGACAATCTCCAATTAGTAGAGTCACCTGTTCTTTGTCATTTGTCAGTTTCACAGTGAAATTTTCAAAGTGGATTTGGCACAGAAGGTAATTCCACTGGTTTTAAAGTCACCACCTTGTCTTTTGGTTTATTTAATATAGAACATAATTGATGGGTGATCAAACATCATTAGTCTCACAGGTTGAGCAAAAATACAATGACTTCAATGTTTAGGATACTGGTAAATGGTTCTTTCAATGTCAGCCAAAGGTTGGGCCAGCTTTTGCCTCCTGATCTCAAAACACCACAAAGTTGGAGGGTATTTTGGAGATCATCTCTAGTCTTCCTGCTAAAGATAGCAGATGCAATCCAAACAGAAACTATATAGGAGAAACCTAGCATCTATGTAAATTAACATGAGGTAACAGCTATCTCTGCAATCTCTGTGGTATTGCTCTGGTTATTAATGCAAACATATATAGTGCTTATTCATATATAGAATATACAGACTTATAGAATAATCGTTGTTGTTGTTGTTGTTAGTTGCAAAGTCGTGTCCGGCCCATTGCAACCCCATGGACAACGTTCCTATCCTNTACCTCTCTCTCCTTCTCCCTCTCCCTCTCTCTCTTTCATACCCCCCTCTCTTCATACTCCTTCTCTTTTTGTGTGTGTGTGTGTGAGGAGCAGAGTGAAGCAGTGCTTTACTTTTTAGATTTATAATGTCTATCTAAAGGCTGACATAGTTTTCCATTTTACTTCTATTTGTAACAATTGAAACCAAGCTTTTTAAAAATTTGTTAGTTTCTCACCACATTTCACAGTATCATCTCAAAGCAGTATTAGGCCTATACAAATGGAGTTTGGGGATCTAAGATGACCCACGGGGGATGGAGGATTCCCACAGACAATTCTTCTTACCTCAGTGTCTTCCCTTCATCTATTCTAATAGACATCTCATTTGGGATCTGTGACATTTGTGGATCTTGAGAGAAAGAAACTCCATCAGTCAAGGCATGGTGTCATTTCAGCTCAGCATGACATTACAGTGTCATGAGTGGTATTTCTTCCCCAGAAACATTTTCTACACCTGTGAGCTAAGACCCCGTACAGAATTTATCAGAGAGGGAATGTATCTGGCTTATTGTTTTATTTGGGATACTAATGGCCAGATCTTTGGACATTCAACCTATCTCATAAGACTTGTGTGACCTTCAACCTATCTCA